GGAAAGTCACGACATGCTGTTAAGTGGAAACAGTCTCACTGTCGACGGAAAACATCAGGATAGCAGACGTAAAGGTCGGAAGTCCCCTGAAAAAAATGAAAGTGCAAAACATAGCAGAGCTTTGGCCCAGTAGAGACGGGCTGACCTTAGATGTTTACTGGGAAAAGTTCTGGTGAACTGTGATCCCAAGTGTTGCAATCACAGTTCAGAATCGAATCACCAGATGAAATGTTCACTGACTTGGAGTAATGTCTGCCAGAGCATGATGAAACACTCACTATTGTATTTTGGCACAGTAAGTACACTGAGGTCATTTACAAAGCAGAGCTGGCCTCATGTGAACAACAGCAATCATTGATCGCTTTACTGGCACTGACAATTCATGTGCAGCACAGAGCAGATTACATAAGTCTTTATTTCAACAAACCCTGAGGACAAGTCAAATGTTCACTGACATCACCGAGCGTTGTTTTTCCTGGACGTTTGACGTTACTCTTACTTAACATTTAGACTCGTCTGTCTGCTATCATTGCTGTGTACATCCAGTTTAATCAGAAGCTGATATAACTCACCTGTTATATTCAGGAAGGACTGAAGCGTGGTCATTGATCAGCAAGTCTTTCACTTGGGTCAGAATAGCAAATTTCCAGTTGTCCAGCACCTGAGTCAGGTTTGAGCAAGTCTTGGCACTGGTCTGTACTGCTGAACACAAAGTTTAACCGTATAAACAAACAGGTCATTATTCACTCCAAGTTTTAGAAACACAACCTCAGCGGTCAAAGGTCACATTACTAAAAATCATTTTCAGACCTTTAGGTTCCCAGCGTGATGTCTCCTGTTTCGATTTCTGAGCTCCACACGCTGAGATCATGCACAGCATAATGAGAGCCAACTTCATCCTCGTCGTTCTCATCTAACAAACACAATAATATAGGCTGTGGGTGCTCCTGAGGAACAAGCTCACCGAAAAGTGCTGCCAAGCCACGTTACAAAAATACTAAACAGTCTTTCGGTTGAAGAAAAGCTGATGAGAAATTAGTTCAGTCATAAGTTCGTCTTTTGTTCACCTTTTTTAAGCTATAAAAATTGTTTAGTTTTGTTCCAAAAAGAGCAAGAAAGTAAATTTAAATTTGGGTTTTTACGCTACCTTTTTTGCAAAGAAGTGCCAGGGGTCTTCTCAGATCAGAGCACCAGAACACACACTCTGTACTGTATGATCCTACAGCAGTGACACACTGAGAAAACATGAGTTGTGCAGAACTCTCTTATAACTCTTTCCCCAAACTCCCGGAGCAATTTCCCCACCTGATCCCATCCACGTCACTGATTCAGGGCGGTGACATCCTCAGTTCTTTTAGCATGTGTGCACACTGCTGCATTCACGTGCACAAAAAACAAAATCTCCCTAAACCCACTCGCACACATATGCGTCCCACTCTTGCCTCATCTCTCATATCTTATAGACTGTGCATCTTCTAAAATAACCATAATAGGAGGTCCTGGTAATTTCTGATGCCCCATCTCTGCTCCGCATGTCTTTTAGGTTGTGTGGGTGGCATGTGACAACTGTGCTCACCATAGGCTCCAATCCAGAGAAGGTGTTTGATGTAGAAGTATGGCTCCAGTATAACATTCTTACTGCCTACTGTAATACAATCTGCTCAACATCTGGGCTACGACAAATCCAGCCAGCAACACTTTAACCGTCAAGGGTGATCAAAACCTGGTGAGCTGCACTCACTTGATGCAAACGGGACAATAAAAAACACACATTCAACCATATTAATAGAAAAAAGGAGAATATCCAAAAGCATCAGAATTAGAAAATGGGTTAGAGTCCCAGATTAACTTTAAAATAGCAATTAAAGGGAAAATTATGCAGCCCTGAAGATATTCCTTGACACCTCAGCTGCCTTAATTTCTAACTTTACTAAGCTGCTGTGTGATTTACTGCATTAGTTCACTTAGTCTGATGTGATCCAACCTTAATAAATCTACATAACTGTGGAAGTGGGTTTAGATTTGATGTGCAGTGATGCAACACATGACATGTAGTTTCATGACTAAGACGGATTTCATACTCCTGTTTTCCACAGGCAAGTGCACCCAGTCTATAACCTATATAGTCTTCAAACAGCTATTTATCTTTCTACTTCTTCTTCTACTCAAAAACCAGCAGCTTCAGGTCATATGAAAATATTGGACAACATTAGTGCTTTTTTCCTGTCCCAGATTTTTTAAATAAAATTCCAGCTTTGATTTATTTCAGATCAGAGTTCCTCATTCTGTTTGAAAGATGTGCCGCTGGGTATGCTGATGTCTGCAGATGTCTGCAGATAGTTGTGCTGATATATGAGCGGAGGTGCACCCATCACTGCTGAAAAGGAATGTAACTGGGCAGCGCTCCCTGCCATCTGCAACACCTTTACACACACAGACAGTATACCAAACTGTATATGCAGTAGGTGGGATGAACATCACATCATACGGACCATACATCTTCAGCGCTGACAGGCAGGAACTAAATACTTTTTAAATCTCCATCCTCCCAAAAGATTTAAAAGGAAACAGGAAGATTTGTTTAATAATGACTAGATGACATCCAACTTTTTTTTCTGCCAACAATCAGTCACGATAAATATATTTTTTTATTTGAACGTAGGCTCATAATTTATAACTAAATGAAAAACCATTTTTTGATAGTGGTTATTTGTCTGCTGACCCTAACAAGCTGGAGTTCATTTTCCCCAGTGAGATTTTCCATGACCTGAGAAATCACAGTGAAAGTTGCCTAATGTGCAACGAAGGAAAAACTATTTGGATCTTTTATTTCTTTCTTTCTTTTTAAAGTAGGTTTTATGGGATTTAAATTATAGAAATAAAAGTATATAAGACAATATTCTGCTTTTTTTCATCTTTTTGTGCAGCGTCATCAACTATTCAGCAGCGGTACACCTGCTAAATATACATAGCAGCATTAAAATAGTTACCTGTGAAAAAACAATCGGATTAAAAGGTATCATAAAATGAAAGTAATTAGTTTTAAAATTACTTAATTATTTTCCACCAGTCATCCATCCCAGTAAAAAGCTAAAACCTTATCTGATAAATTCCCACAACTTACCCACAAATAATTTTCTAGCAAGTATAAGTGAGCATGTCTATGTTTTGTTTTGTTTTTTATTAATCATATGGATATGGAATCAAATTTATGGAAGGACTAAAGCCAAGCCTTACAAGCCTGGAGTCCATCATCAGTCAGTGCCTGCAGCAGTGCGCACCTGGAAACCCGCAGCTCAGTTCGGCACAGCCAGAGGAAAGAATGAGCGCACTGGACCAGCAGAGCCAGAGAGTGAGATAACCAGGCCTCGCTTTCTCCCTCTGCTTTTTCACTCAGTGTCACATCTGCTCTCTCATGTGCTGCTTGTTATTGACTTTCAGTAGCACATCACTTCATAACGACTTTATCAGAACAACAGAGGATTTTTACTGTGAAATATATCAGGTGTTAAATACAAACAGAAGCTCCACAATGAGAACGGTTGCATTTCTTCTTATTTGTTATAGAAGGTAATCTATGACCTTCTTCTTCATCTGTGTTTGGGTGGTGTTTCATCTCATTTGACTGATAACAAAAACCCTGATAAGTCTGAGAGGCAGGGAGTTAATTCGAGGGACTATTTTCAAGGAATAATTTGTAAGCTTTTTAGGTTAACACATTTTAAATTTAACTAAAACTGAATTGACACTTCTACATTTCTTTCACTTTATGTAAAACATGCTCCTGTAATTTCCTCCATTGATTTCATCATATTTTGAAGGCTGATTTTAGCATTCTAGCTGTGGTCATGTTGGTATTTTGGAGCCACGGGTTACTATATTAGGAAGAAAATGTGGAGCACTAAGTAATTTGCTAATGTTGGGATGTTAGAAGCTGTCTTTATAAACCTTTTAAGTATAAAGTTCAAACATACATATTTGCTTTTTTAAGTAAGTAAGCACAATCTTCCACAGTGGATTCATATTTCAACCATACAATAGCTACAATAACCTGCCAAAATAATTACACATTTCAAAGACTTTACTCATTTGATGTGTTTTGTGGACTTAAAGAGGTACGTGCATCATTACTAGAGACTGACTTGTTTTTTTTGTGCAGTGTGTGCAACATGATATCATATAGAAATGAACCTGAACACAACTAAGGTCATTCACAAAGGAATGCAAGATGCTGTTTCTGATTAAAAACTGACGAAACATTTTACTCAGTCTTCTAAGAAGTTCTGAATTCCTCTTGGTTAGTAAAGTGTGTTTTATTTTTAATAAATATGACAATTCATTTGCTTTTCTGTTCTTTGTCTGGGATTATTCATGCCATACGTTAGAAGAGTCTCGGTTTTCTGAACTTTTTGTAAACGTTAGAAGAAACTGTCTTGTGCATGATACCTGACTGCATGGCCAACCAGCTCTAACTAGTGACAGATATATTGACAGATATGATATGATTAGTCTCTGTTAATCCAGTGATAAATGTTAAGTTGCATACACAGCAGGAAACCAAATGCACCTGGAAAACCGTCATTATAAAAGCACAAAAGCTGGGAATCTATGTAGATTCTGAAACTTAAAACTGGTTTTAGTGGTTGCCCAGCTGCTACAATGTTGTTTCTTTTTTGAGGCCTAAAACACATTTTCCAGGTTTCTGGAAAATTAAAGCAAGGATTTTAAAATATGTCTTCTACTTTCTTCCTTTTGTGGTAATCACCATCAGGAGACATTTTTGTGAGTCTTTGACCCATGGGTCCCACTGTAGGGCAATATATTATCCTTTGCAGGTCCTGCTTTATTGCACATGAGTAGAGTTGAATAAAAAGTACCGAGTTCTATTCGGATGCCCACTTTTGTGTAACTGTGTGTCTCCGACACGCTGCGATACCCTTTTAATCCCCTCACTGTGACTCTCACATGATGAAGAAATCCCACCCCCGAGGCTAAGCACAGCAATGGTTACTCCAGCTCAGCTCACATGCTTTTCTGTATTGTAGCAAATGATTGCCCTGTGTTACATTTTATCCTGTGTCATTCTGACCAGCTGATGTTTCCCAGTGGTTGACAAGATGAGGAGATTTTTGCCTAGAAAAAGATTCCCTTGGCCATGGCTGAGACGAGATGCTACTCCGAATGAGACCAGTCCACTCTTACCAAAGGTAGGTGTGTTACTGGGTTAGTTTGAGAATACTGTGTTCCTCTGTTCACCTGTAGTTACATTTCTGGGGTGGCTTTAATTTTTTGTGGCATTCTTGTGTGTCTAAAGGCAGGATCTACAAACAATGCTGAGGAGCTTGCCTTGGTCACTACTGATTTTCAAGCAGGGACAAACAGCGGACAGCAACACAACAGTCCCACAGATGCCAGGATAGATCCCTATTCCGGTTATTCTTTCATGGACTATTTCCTAAAATACTTTCTTATCATATGCAATCTGTTGTTCACAGTTTTGGGCCTGTTGCTTCTTACTCTGGGGGTTTGGGGTCTCATTAGCAAGGAATCCTTTGCTCAGGAGAAGATCAGCAGTATTGGCACTGACCCAATGCTGGTAGTTCTGAGCGTGGGCTTTCTGCTCACTGTGCTGTGCCTGTCAGGCTGCGTGGGTGCCCTAAGAGAGAATCGCTGCTTGCTGAAGCTGTTCTCAGCCACGGTGCTGGTGCTCATCACAGCTCAAGTCATCATCGCCATTGTGGCCCATACTCTACAAGATCAGATTGAAGGTAACTTGCGATCCGGGATGTTAGTTGCCATCGCACGGTACCAAGATGATCTGGATCTGAGGTTCATCACAGACGAGATTCAGTCAAATCTGCAGTGCTGTGGGGCGGACAACTACAGAGACTGGGAGATTAACATGTGAGCAACTTGGAAATCTTTTTTTTTTTACTTTTTTGAAAGTAAATCAAAGCCAGTTGGTCACGATGTAGGAATGTGTTGAAGAAGTTAATGAGCTGTGAAGTTTTTTTATTGGGTTATTTTTCCCTTTCTTCAGATATTACAACTGCTCAGCTCCAGGAGTGCTGGCCTGCGGTGTCCCTGCAACATGCTGCGTGGATCCTCTGGAGAACGGCACCGTGTGGAACTCTCAGTGTGGTGTCGGAGCCCAATTACTGGATGAGTTTACTGCTCAGAGTGTGATCTTCCTGGGAGGTTGTCTGGGGGAAATCTCTCGATGGATCAAGCAGCACGAGGGCCTGATAGGAATAATTGTGACTGTCGTGTTTGGGGTCCAGATTCTGATATTATTTATTACCATACGACTGCTGGAACGCATTAATCGTCATAAAGTATAGCTATAACACGGAGTGACGAATACAGCAATATGCTGGTTGGGGTTTAATGAGTTCTGGCTGTGCTTAAATTCTGGCTTCATTTATCAATCATTTAAAACAACCTGACCTTAAACACACAGACTGAACTTTTGCAAATGGAAATGAGACATAATTTAAACGAGGAAAGCAAATTCCAACACAAATTATCCACTGAAAATGTTTTACATTTTAAAAATGCCTGAGAGTTTAAGAAAAAAAAGAATTTCAGCTAAAAGTTAACTGCAGCTTGGCGATAGCTATCACCTCTTTTGTGTTTAAAAATAAAAACTCCACTTTTCAAGAACATGTACTCACTGGCCACTTCATTAAGTACACTTGTTGAACTGCTCATTAACTGAAATATCGAATCAGTCTGAACATGGAAATGGATTTGAAAGATTTTAGCTTCACCAATGTGGGTCAGACCAAGGAAAGTCTTGAAACTGTATCTGTGTGTGTGTTTATGGGACAGTAGTAACACTATCACCAAAACGTTTTCACCACATGTGCCCAAATCCTTCAAAGACACACACCTCCTGATATTTGAAGGATTCTTGGAGGATCTCAAAATGGTGAAACAGTTCAACAGCATAGGAGTGGTTGTAAATGGGTCACCTGGGGAGTAGAGGTCCTGCAGATCAGATCTGCATCTTCATCACAAGCACCTACAATGTAACAAAATAATCAATGAACAAAAATGGAATTCATTTATTCTGAGCTGAGAATAAATGGAACAGCTCAGAAGAATGATTAGAGTAAGATTGTAAAAGCACCTTTCAGTGACTGACGGTGGACAACCTGCTGCAAATATGTGAAACACATGTGCACGTCCCACACATGCAAGGTTTCCTGCGCTGTTTTGAATGAACTGAACTGAGTTTGCTAAAAGCAAGTTTTGTGTTCTGAGTGTTAACAAATATTGAATAAATAATGATGATTACAGATGGTATTTATGATGGGAATGATGTAATCTCTCATGCGCAGTGTGGGTCAGTAAATAACCGTCAAATAAAAGGACAAAATCAAATGACTGAAATTGTGTTAAAAATGTCAACATTTATTCGAGAGTTTGATTAAATATGATAAAGACAGTGCTGACGATTGTGCAGAAACCAAGCTAACAGAGTTCTAGCTAAAACCACAGACTCAAGCAATGACACGAGAACACATTCGAGATACACGTTTTGTGAACATGGCAGCTTGAGATCGTTATGAAATTAGGTTTACAATATAAAATATATAAGACAAAGAACAGCATTCACAGCATGCAGACGTATAAAGACACCTTTTCAGCCAGTATTAATGATCCAGATTATTGAAACTAAATACTGAAATTCAAAATTTGCCACATTTATTTAAAACAACTTCACAGCGGAGATAATCAGATGATGCCATACTGGGCAAGCTCATGTAGCTCTAGATGGCTGTATGCCTCCCACGGGCAGATTACAGTGATGTCTAAAATGAAAAAAACAAAGAGAAGAAAACAAATCATGAGTTGTTGTTTTTTTTTGTTTTTTTGTTTTTTGTTTTTGTTTTTTAAAGGAAGAAAAGGTCATGTCATGTGCATGTTTTGGTTATGTAGCCATCTGACTTTTAATTTTTTTACTTACCAGTTCCAAGACCTTCCATTCCTGGGATCTCCTCTCCAAAGCTGGTAAAGAAAGAAAATAACAAGCTTTACTGGAGGATATCTGACAAACTTAGATGACTCGTGCGAGGTTATCAGAAAGAGACATACCCAATCACTCCTCTTTTGGGAGGCTTGCTCTTGAACTGCCGCGTGTTCCTCTGTTTGAACTTGGGTGCAGACTTGCGTGGGGAGCCGGGGGCCGTGGCTCTGAGGGGAGCTTTGTTGCCAGTCTTTCCTTCGGGTTTGGCCACCTCCAAATTCATGCTTCTGTTGTTTCAACTGTAAAAGTCACTGTGTCATTAAAATGCCCAACAATGAATGAAACAGTTATAAAAATCTTGTGACGTAATTATCCTCATATAAAGACAAGCCATGTGCTCATGTTACTAATCAAATGCTGCGATACCTTCAAGCTTGAAAGCGCCTTCATAATCAGATTACTGTGAGGATGTGCTGAAGTGGCCTCTAGGTTTACACTGACAATAGCTTGAAATGTTTATTTATTTATTTTCACAGTTAAAAAAATGGAAAAATAGCAATGCAATTTGTATGTAAATGTGCATAGATGTAACCACATATTTAAAAAAAACAAAAAACAGATGCAAAGCCGAAAGAGTCCAATAAATATAATGTGCAAATAATGTACAACACATGACTACATAAACAATAAGCTCTGCTTAAGCAGAGCAAGGTCATGGTTACACAAATACACACAATGACAACTCTAATCAACAATTTCATAAGTTCAGCTTTTTTAATCATTCTTAGAAATTCAGGCCATAGTTAAAGGCGGTCATATATTGTTCGGCGACTCTCATTTGTTGTCCTTCCATTATGCAAAACAAAGGTGTGACAGAAAATTAGAAACAATTAAAAAGCACCTCTTATAATGTCCCTGATATAATCTAGTCTTCCATATGACTGAATTAACACCTCATTAACTGTATTAAAAAATATATTAGGCTGGAAAGACTGAATTTCTATTCCGATTAATTTTACATTGCATATTATTTATTTAATATCTACGTTTTAATTAATAATCTAATACTACATGCCTGGATGGATACAGAAACATACTACCAGGTAAAGTCCAAATAAAGATAGAAACTTTTATATAACAATAATAAACTGCATGTGTTAAAATAAGTCCAAAAAGAGAAAGAGTGTTCAAAAAAGATTTAACCTATTGTTTCAACTCACCGCTTGTGGTGCTTCTCTTGGTAGTTGATTATGATGGTAGTGTCCAAGAGGTCTGAGTGGCTGTTGAATGCTGTTGCATTAAGTTGAAATAGTGCAGTCCTTTTATACACCACGGACTTAGAGACGATTATGACGCCACCTGCCAACAAACTGATGATTCTATCATCACTTGTACCCAAGCAGATCATTGATGAGGGATTGGCCGACTGGCATTCAGCAGGAGGGGGCAGCAGTTTCCTGTTCCTGAGACTGTCCTGAAGACACACATGCTGATGATTCTGAACGGGAATTATTTGAGTATTTTATCCATAACCTCTTCAGATATGGTCAAATGTAAGCACTGAGTTCTGGAGTTTTCTCAGAATATAGCTAATTATTATCACTGTTTTTCTGTTATGGCCAAATATTATGTAACACCTGAAGCCGAGAACTTACTGGCATGAACCGTGACATTCTCCTTTCATCAGCAGTCTCGCAGATTGAGCTGCATTATAGCTGCTAATCCAGCCCAGCCTCCTTCCATCACACAGGTGAACACACCTGCTCCATTCATGTGAAGATTTACTACAGCGTCGTTCTGCAATCTGTACTGCTGATGCATGCTGTTCAGGCACATGTATGGACACTAACTCCTCATGTCACCTGTACAAAAAAGATTCAAATGTCTGAGATTAGTGGATATATTCAATAGAGCAAACCTGTCTAGCTACAGTACACTAAGGAGCCAGCTGTGGTATTTTAATTGAAGGTTGTTTCATTGAAGCTTGTTTATTATGTTCATTAAAAGAAACACATGACTTTTTTTCTTTGTATTTTTGTATTTTGTCTAGCTGATCAATCAAATGGTATTTATTTCTGATGAAGAAATGTAGAGTTTACTCTTCACACTGTTTACTGGACAGAGCCACTTATTGATCCGCGTGACTGTTACATGTTATGTGACTGCTGTCCAAATGATATGCACAACTTTGTAGATTCCAATCATAAATGATAAAGAGCTTGGTCTAGATCAGGGGTGGGCAGTTAATTTTCCCAAGGGCCCACATTCATCACCTAATTGTAACATCTACTCTTACCAGAGGCAGTTTAATTACAGGATGGGTAATGAGCTACCAGAACACTTTTTTAAATTAATTTTTTTTGTAATTTTACACATTTATCTGTTTATTTATATTAATTTAAGCCCCAAAACGTCATGCTGGCAGATTTTTCTTTTATTAAAAGTACATCTTCATGATGTAGAAAAACTAAGACTAAATGTAGAAATGTCACTTATTTTTCTTATACTGAGATATTGCAGGGATTAAATTTCCATTTAAGCTTCTTTACAGTGAGAGAGAGGGATATTCACCATTCCCGCCTATTTAAAGAGAAATCGAGTTGTCTGAACGACTTTAAATTAGTTTGGCCTGTTTTCTACAGTTACTGGCTAAAGCAGGTGTAATGATGCCCTCTAGCGGTGGCAGGAAGCAGAGTCGTTGAATGGAGTGACCAACGACTGGCTCTGACAGGAAGCGTCTCTTGAGCCAATCAGGTTTGACCAAAGATCGTCTTATGTCTCATGTGTGTCACTCTGCAATAAAATTACTGTACGTCTCATTAATTACAGCGATTTAAAAAATTGGCAATACATATTTAATTTGATTAAATCAGTTTTTTTGTTTTTTTTACAAAGCAAGAGTTTCATCACGAATCTCTCAATCTGTTTCAATACGCCAAACTTGTAAATCATGTTTTGGTACCTGAAAAAGAAATGGAGTGAGATGTCTGTCCTCTACTACGTGCCACCGGTAGAGTTTCGGTTGAAGTCTGAGCATAGTGCTCCACGTGTGTTGTTTTGCTTTGTTATGCATTCATGTTAATTATTGTAGCATGGGGAAGAATAAGAAAAATAAAGTGTCCGATTCGGGGAAACAAGCGGGAAAACCTGGACAACGTCAAAGGTACCATAAGGAAGCTAATACGTAATGGAAAATGTGCTAGTTAAGCTAGTTAGCAACAGAAGCTAGCTGATACGGGCTCCAACCCAAGTTTTGAGCGATCAGATTAAACCGGACTTGTTAAAGTTTTAAGTGGGGACTTGTGTCTGCAACTAAACATGTTTGCTTTTTGTTTTTTCCTGTCTGTATTGTGTCCAAATTTCAGTAATGCCAAGCTCCAGAGAGATGGTAAACCCAAGAAAGCCAAAGAGGTGGACCACATTCAACACATCCCCTTCAAACTACGAGAAATAATGAAGGCTAAGGACAGAATGAAAACTGGGTCCCTAAAAGTCAAAAAGCCGAAAAAGGGTATGAAAAAAGTTTCTAAATATTCATTTTAGTGTCATGACTGTCGTGTATAACTAATAAAGACTGTGTTGTGTCTTTACCCATCTCACCTGAAGATAAATCAGAGTATTTTCTAGATGGAGACATACCTGTTCCACATTTCAAGAGGGGCAAACGGGAAAGCGTGAAAGCTTACGTGCAGCGGATGGAGCGTGAGACAAAACATGTCATGTTCCTCTCCAAAAACCAAGTAGACAGGAAGCCCGAAATGGATGCAAGCGAACAAGAGAGACCTGCACACTGCAAATCTGATAAAAAGAAGGAGTGAGTACACTTTACACTACACTTTACACTAAACCCCATCCTTATCTAGTAGGTTTCATGGCATAGCTTGTCTTCACTTATTCTGATTTGTGGCTGGGTTTCTTTTTTAGTGTTGTGGCACTGATATTTTTATATGCGTGACATGGATTGAATAACAGTAAAGTATTGAAATAATGTGTAAATCTTTATCAAAGTTCTTGATCCACAAACTCATGACATGACAAAAAGCAAACTTTGTAGCTGCTCCATCCATCACCATTTGTGTTGTACAGCAAAAAATCAGCAGTAATCCTCCAGAAGTTTTATTAAAACATGCAGATGAACTGTTAACTTTGCCTGATACCGTGTTTAAATTATACAGCTTACAGAATGCTATATAAAAGGTTATTTGAAATGGGCAGCTGTCCTATTTTACATAGAAGAAATAACTGCACCAAACAGGGGTGAGTTTAAGGCAGGGGTGGGCAACTCCAGGCCTTGAGGGCTGGTCTCCTGCAGGTTTTAGATATCACTTTGAATCAGCTGTGTTGGATCAAGGACACATCTAAAACCTGCAGGACAGGCCCTCGAGGCCTGGAGTTGCCCACCTATAACACCGTTATAACATCTGTTTTCAGCAGCACAGAAACTTTGCGTGAATGCAGAGGGCAAACTTCAGAATGCTGATTTACCTGCTGCTCTTCATTGCAGCAACCACATTCTCCTTTAAAGCCTTACAGACACAAACTCGCTCTTCGCTTGACTTCTTCATACTTAAACAGGCAGACACACGTGCACAAAAACTCATAAACATGAACTACCTCATCCCAGAAATAAAGCTTTGCCAGAGAGTGCTTTAGAGTCTTTACATATTTTTGCATTTAAGAAAATGTTGTTGTTTTTTCCAAAAAATTACATTTGATCTGACATGTAAATACAGTCAGTGGGTTTATGTTTGTTGTTTTTCTGACAGGTGTTGTGTGCAGCTAAACTTTAAAACACTGCAAGTTCTAAAATGGAAACCAATGAACAGTTCATTTTGAAAGACCTGTGTTTTTTCTCTTTTGAATATTTATTATTGCTCATTAATAAGACAAAAGTATTTCTTATCCAATTAATCGATTGAACAATCAATAGATTACTCGATTACTAAAATAATCGATAACTGCAGCCCGACTGTCAAGTGTTACATTTTTAATGCCTACTGATTTTCTGTTGGCAGGTATGGTAAAATGAAGCTACAGAAGCTACAGCAGAAAAAGGTGAACAAACAAGAGGACAAGATGGAAGAACAGATGTTTATAGGTAAGAATTAAGGTTTTACAAGGAAATGTGGTGCATTGTTCTTTAGATGGGATCTGTCTTTGACTGTCACTCGGTTTGGTACTAATAGCAAGAGGTAGCATTTACCAGATATTATTTTAAACATTTCTTTGAAAGCCTGGGTCTTTTTGACATATTTAAAACACTAAAGGTTTTCGACACAGCACTTGCTTCAGTAGCATTTCTTTTTTCGTAGTACACCATCTACTAGGTAAACAAGGGTGCAGATGGAGGACATGCTGTGAGATATTCTTTCAGTAAAGCATTTTTTTTTTTTGCAGTACTGTCCTGATCACTTCCCTCTGAGGAAATTTCAAACCTCTATCTGAAGTAATCCCAGATTCAGCTGTTAGAACAAAACAAACATTAAAAATTTGTCAGTCTGAGGCAGAGTAAAACCAAATGACGCAGAACCAAATCACCTCAGTTGTAGTTCCCCGTGAAATTAAAGTAAGGACCCAATTCAAGTATATTAGATGATGTGTTCCTGGTGTAAGCCACAATGGATGCAGTGTTTAATGCCTTCAGTTGACATAAAAAGCAACCACAAAGTTACTGTTTATGCTCATCTTTTCTGTTGGTGCCCTTATAAATCTACACTGTTTCCTACACAGAAAGTGGGAAGAGCATTTGCATCTCTGGGGTTTACAGAGACTGGTCCAAAAACAAATATTAGTGTGTGTAGATAGATGGATAGCCTACCTATGTATAATCACATTCTACGCATCCTATGATCGCTCACAAAGCTCTCAAACCGGTTTCTTGAATATGACAATGAGTTCACTGTATTCGCATGGCCTCCACAGTCCTCATAACTCATAATGGAACGGGAAATGTTATGGATGTGCAGTCCACAAATCTTCACCAATTGTGCGATGCTGTGATGTTAGTACGCACCAAATTCTCTGTGCCATAAATTAAGGAAGTGCTGAAAGCAAAACGAGTTTAAGCCGTTATTAGGACAGTGTAGCTAATAAAGTGACCAGTGTATAAATCAGGTGTTATGGTTAAAAGTTGTTGGGCTATACAAACATGGAAAATGGCAAGAAGTATTTAATTAAGGCAGCTTAACATGGCAACGGTGAGTAGTCATTAAAAAAATCCCTGTAGTTAAATGATGGCTTTTGTTTCGTAGATGATGTTCCTTTTGGTGAGGTTACAATGGCCCCTCCCTCTTTGAGTGCCAAACCAAGGAAAGCTGAAGTCAAATCTCAGGTAATCACACCGTGCATTGATCACATGATCTCTCATCGAACCATGCAGATGGTTCATAAAATCCTATTTCCTTTTTTTCCCCATTTCATTGTGCAGAAAGCATCAAAGGAGCTGCTCCTAAACTCTCTTCTTGGCCATACTGCAGTCTCCACTACAAAGCCCTCCATGGCCAAACAGAGAATCATGGAGGAGGAGCGGGAACGAGCAGTAGAGGCATACCGTCAGCTGAAGAAACAGAAACAGCAGCAGTATGAAGCTAGGACTGCAAGCATGAGAAAACTCAAAAGCCTTCACTGATGTTGCTTTTCACTCAGCTCATCTGCAGTCAGTGTTCCTGGCAGCAGCAGGGCTGAGCAGTGATCTGTAGAAACTGTCTAAATAAGATGGAGAGCTAGCCACATTTGAGATTAATATCTGGAGGAACTTTATGCATCTTTATGCTCCTGTTGGAGGCTCCTGTAGCTCAACAGGTACAGCAGGCTGTTTGCTTTTCATGAAACTGGCAACATACCACTCCCACGCTGTCTAAAAGAGGGGGAAAATGTGTAGTATTCAAATGTCTGTGTGTGCAAGGGTGGATGTGGCTCCTTGTGTAAAGCGGTTGGTTGGGAAAACTTGAAGGGCACTGTATAATTCCATTTTATCTTTAGGTACACTAAACAACACTGCCGCTTTCACAACGTTGTTAATTTAAAAGAGTGAACGGCTTTCAAAGTGCTTTGTAACACTGCAGAGTCATTTCCCAAGTGCGATGGAAAATACATGGAGATATTTTGCCTATGCTCATTTATCACCCTTGGAACGCTTGCGTATTTCATCATTTGTATTTACAGTTTTTTCACATTTGCATGTTCAGATAACCAAATTCTGAGGTCGTCCGTCATGTGATGGACAGTAAAATCCATCCATCAGGTTATTTCAAAGTAAAGATGATCCTCTGATTGGTTTTAGTGGTCCCACTAGATGGCACTCCTCTTGTACACAGCCGACATAACTTGCTCATTGTTGGTGCCATATTATATATTGAAGTATTTTATATTGTTGTTAAATGGTTGAGTGGTAATGACTGCATTTTATATAGAAAATGTAAATAACATGTTGAGAGAAACCATGAGGTCATTTATTATTAGATGTTTTTGATTTTTTCCATGCTCCTCAGCAGATGTTTGCTGTTTGTTGTCATATTCCCTGTTTTTTTTTTCCAGAGCATTTGGATAAATCTGGAATTGTCATCCACACTGATGTTCAGAAACATCAGCTGAAAAAACAAATATCCTCATGAGACCTTTTTAGCTGTTTGTACGTCTGTGATAGCCTCTGTCTTGGGATAAATGAGCCATTAGCCTTTTTAAATGTGCAGCATTTATTAGAGCCTGGCACAGCTATTTATATTTGTAATCCTTCGAAGGCTTTACACTCATGAACGAAGCCATTGTTTAAATATTTGCATATGAGACGGACTGCGCATATTCAAATCTTTGTTCAAAAACTTTCAAAGCATGCTATCTAAGGAAAAAAAACCACATTGATAATATAATGCAATAGTGATCAACTGAATAATATGACCAGATGTTGTCAATACTGAATTCTTCTTATCTGGTTCGTGGGTCCAATCACTGCTATTTAATCAGCTTGACTGGTGAAACCCTCAGTCCATGTTTGTCCTCTGATGGTTGTCACAGTGACACGGAAATGTATTAAGTGGGGACAGCTGCTGGTGATTGGGTGCACCGACTCCCTTGAGCTGAGCACATTTGCCATTGGTTATATTCCACCTGTGTGCAGGACAGCTGTTCACATTATCAGAGCTTTACAGCTGTTTTTCACTTAGGATGTTAAGATACTGGGGTTTTTTTTACCTTCTTCTTCTTTTAGTTGAATTTACTGACCCCGGAGTTACGTAATATACAAAGCTTCGATCGTGTTAGCATATTTATATAGTCAAATATTTCAAGTGCAATGTGACACATTGTGAGTTCTCTGTATTAAATGTTTTACCAACCATCCAAAGGGCCGCTGGGAAGCACGAAATCTAACCAGACTTGAGCAGTTTCATTGGAAATATTCTGCTCTGTTTATGTCCACATGCAGTGTTTCATTTTGGATATCATGCAACGCTTGTTTTTTTCAGCCAGATCAAGAAGGTGATACTGAAGGTTATTACAGAGGAAAACATCATTTGCTTATGTGTTCTGTTGTTCAGTGCTGTCTGATTTCCTGTTAGTGAGCAATTTATCTTCCGATCAAGTACCCATGGCTGCTGACAGTACAGGATGGGAAAGAGTAATTGGGAGAGAGACATTTAAGCCTGCTGCTAGGCAGCCACTGCTGACTGAAGCTTTTAAAGACGTGTGAGTGTGTGTGAGCGAGATAAATTATATTAAAATAATTGTGCTTGTCATGTAGAGAAGACAGACTACCTCTTGTGAGTCAGACCAGTTGTAGATGAAAATTTTCGCAGCAATACGTACGCAATATTAATCTGTTACCACAGCGATTGATGATTGGATTCAGCAGCATTACAACAACATCAGCTTGACTATCACAGCGGTCTCCCTTGCTGAACTACAAACTGAGGCATCACAGAGCCAACCCCTGGATGTCGTGCTAGGTGCCAGGCCAGGCTTATCAAGCAAACATATGTAAATATTTGAAGCAGTAAACTTAGCAATCCTGCTGACATGATGACACTTCCTCTTTTACCATCCAGTACCTTTCGTTATTAGTTGATTCTTTCTGCAATCCAAAACGCCAGAGAATTTAACTGAAATTTGTAGGGCTGACACCTTCGAATTTACACCTTCACATTTATTTCATTCATGGCTAAAAGCCACATTTTTGCATATGATTACATTATTATAGTTACACAAATTTACAACTAAGTATGTTATACTGTGGTGATCATGAACAAATTCTAACGCATACACACACACACATATGTGTGAATGTGTTAGAATTTGTTTATATATATATGCTTGTTAATATATATTATATAATTATAATATAATATATATAATATATATATATATATATAATATATATCATACATATGACAGATGATATATATATATACATATGACAGATGATATATATATATACATATGACAGATGATATATATACACACATATCTTGTATTTGTTGTATTTCACTATATAATCTTTCCTCTGTAAGCCCAGTGTGGTTTGCATCATTATAATAATGTGTGGTTTTGATGTACATAGAGCAAGCATTGCATAAGCATTAATGGAAACTAAGCAGTCATATACTGAATATTACTGGACTTTCACTCTGTTATTGCTTAAGAGAAAACAGAGATATTAAATATCTGATTCTTGGAGCTCTGAGATGGAAAAGCTCAGTGCAATGTGCTCGGCTTGGGCTGCTAACTTATGATAGTCCTGAAGATGTTTAGGAATCCACTGAGCACGACTAGGAGCTGCAGCTCCCCATATTCAAAGGGCCAGGTGTGGTTCGAAGTATCATTGAGTCTTGGTCCTTCTGTGAAATACACATATGGATTATTTTCACATGTGATATCATGAAGACGGGATGTTTCGTGATTAAAAATAGCACTCACCCTTGTCAGACCTTTGGCAATCAAGGCTATTTCAGTGGGCTGGTATAAACAACTTCGTGCCTGACCATTGTAAACCCCATATGGAGACGTTGGATTTGTGGATTCTGTCATAAAAAATGTCATTTTACAGTCATTACTGGATTCGTTTTGTTGTCTGTGTGCAATCTGTTGCAAAAACCTAGAGCCACTCCCAATTTTTTAAAATTATTGCGCTTCCAAGGAGCTACACTTTCTTAAAATTGTCCAAGTGATGTTGAGCATCAGTTGTCCATTCTTTCTGAAGTTTTTTTTTTTTTTTAAAAATAAACAAATTGATGCCCAAAGTGCCTTTAGCCAGAGGTTTTGCATATCTCAGCATGGTATAAGCATATATGTGTATGTGCATGTATGTAACGAAATTTGCTACATTCAAACTGGCATTGACGTGGATAGAAAAATACAGAATGGGACATTATATATTTCAGTAATATTGTGGTCTGAGTCTCAACATTACTGAAGCAGTTTAGGTTTGGGCCAGAAAAACATTCAAACAAGGTACAAATAAGGTACAGCCACACAGCACTGTTGACAGAACACTGTCCAAGACTGCGGCAAAAGTAAATCCAGTCAGAGTTCGAGAAGTATTTCTGAAGTCTACTTAAAGAAATGACAAGAAAGTTTGCCTAAGAGAATCCAGCCTTTGTTAAAGAATAAAGATGGTGATCCAAAACATTCTCCTTCAAACTCGTTAGAACTGTGCTACTTGGCTAACATACTGTCTTGGCATGTATGTTTGTACAATCATATGAGGTGGCTCAAGACTTAAACCTAAAAACCATTATTAAACCATTATTAACAACTGAAATGGCACAATTTAATACATCTGCTGTTTGAAATTGTACAGTGAGAAGAATCAATATATTCAGCATTACTTGGGAAAATTAGGCACCACACACACCCTAGATATTTCCTAACATTGAAGCAATCTGTACTATGTGCCACATACTTTAAATGATAACAGTATAATGTATCCTGTATTGGTATCGGCTGATACCAGTTGGGGTCCAACAGTTAAACCTGATCATTGATCTCAATATTTAGTGTGTTGAGAATGTAAGGTTTGCGAGCAACAGACTTCATATTGCAATGCAGTGATTCTTCGCAATGGCAATGTGCTTTGTGCTGATAATGTGGGTTGTGGATAAATAGGAAAGTGGTATACAAAAACAGCAATTTTCAAAATTACAAAACAGTAAACTGGAGAAGGTGTACTGTAGCCAGTGTGGGTCTTCATTTGCTACACTGATGCATTATGTAATATACCACGCAGTGCTTGTTATCAGTTTGGAATAATCCAAACGTGTCTCAATAAAATTTAGAAATTAATTTCTATTGATTACTTAATTACTACTTAATAAAATGTATTAATTCTAATGATTCTGTACCCACCTAAACAGTATTAAACTGCTGAACTGTGAAGTTAATGGCTGACCATAATGTGTTATGCTGTACCTGGTTCATCCATAGAAAAGGCTTTATTTTCTACGTAGACATGCTGCGGGGTGGGCTGTGGCTCCTTCAGAATGTTGTCGTAAACCAGGCTTCTAGCAGGATAGACTTCTTCCCCATCGGGTTGTTCCTTGTTTGGGTCCTCCTGGGTCAATAAACAGATTTCTGGAATTGCATAGAACAAGAGGAACACCCAGGCATTTGACACCACGGCTATAGCCATAGTCGGATCGTCCCAGCTGGAATTATCAACTGCTCGGTTCCCATAGATGTACATGACAATCCAAGCTATCCAAAGTGCCAAAGTGAGGACTCCTGTGACCAGGATAAAGGCTCCATCTCGGCGCCAGTGCTTTTGCTTGTGTGTTAGTGAGGGCACAGACGTTAGCACCACAGCTGCTATCAGAACCATTACATATATAAGGGCCATCACAAAGTCCCGACTGACAAAGCTGCAGGCCAGGTCAGGAACACCGAGACCTCTGAGTGGGCTCCTGGCCACAGTAATGACAAGCCACTCGGTGTTGATGATCACCTCGACAAGCCAGAGAGCCAAGGCTCCCAGCCATAACATCCAGCTCCTGGGCCCCTGGCCTCCCCTTTGCAGCAGGGCAAGCCACAGCCCATGCATCACCAGGCAGGCCAGACAGCCTGAGAACAGTACTCCAAACAGGTACCTCCGTGCAGCACAGGTAGTAGAATACTGCTCCACAATAAAGGCAAAACTAAGTCCAAACAGACCCAGTGTGAAAACTAAAATGCTGGCCTGCAGGCCCACCATACCCTTTCTCTTCTTGTCTGTCACAAACGGTAAGCTAGCCATGAGGATGACGAACAAGATAAAGGCAGTCAGCACACCAACAGCAGCAACAGCTTCCACTACGATGCCCCATACTGCTGTCAGGTCACACAGATTATAATACATGGAGCTCACATCACCACCACATCCTTTTGGAGCACTAGTTGGGTCCATCGCTTCACTGCAAAAAAAGAAACAAAAATAATTTGATTACTTCAACATACATGTTAATATTGTAGTTACAGATTTCATTAATAACATCCCTGATTATTACAAAACAAACTATTGGTTTAAATTGCAAGTAATATTACTGTAATAGTTTAATATTGCTCACACAGTAATATTACTGTGTGAGCAAGTTAAATGGTGCCATGCATATACAGCTGTGCCATTCCACTGGAGTTTCAATATGAAAATGACCTCATTTCTATTTTATGGAGTTTTAATGTGCCATACTAATTACTGTAAATTCAAATATTCATTCAGGTCTCTAAAGAATCCTGGAATTATGTACTGCATTCCCTGGCTGTAATTACAAAACTGAGTCATTCTACACAGAGCTTTAGTCACCGCTCACTCTATAGCCTCCTAAGACCAGCTAATTAGGAAAAGCATCATTTCAGCATTTCAGCATTTTACCATGACACCTAATGAGTATTTCCACACAGTATCCCTGTTCCAGTACGCACACAGGTGTCATTCAGGAATCATATGTATTTTAATAGCAGAATGTATAGTTGTAGGTGTACATTTTAAACCAGTTATTATTGAACGGCAACTTAATTATTGTTTATTCTCTTCTTCTGACTGTAACTGTAATATAATAATTAAAGGACACGACATTCAAAAATGAATATGCTTTTTATGCGAACTTTCTGACTGTGAAGATTTCAGATAAAGGTGCCTGTGTGGGATGAGAACATCGTCCTGCTGCTTATTTAATAATTATATTATACCCAGTGAGTTAGCTTAGTTAACTAACCACAAAAACAGGACATGCTGTTTAAAGGACAACAAGTTGTTTATGATTATTTATATAACAGAATCGGAGAGACTTAGAGGGGGAGACAGTTATGATGTTATAAAAATAAAAGACAAACAGGTTCAATCAGGAATCTTTGCGTAATAACACGAGTCTCTTACCAGGATTGCAATGAGAGCTGTTCCGCTAGCCTCTCCAACAGGTAACAGGTAGATTCAGTCCGATAAAGATTACTGACCTCCGAAAAGAAACTTCCCTTGCACGAACGAGTTGATTTTTTATTGGTGGTAGTAGTTCTTCTCCATTTTTACAACACTTCTTGATGATTCGACCAATAATTTCTGTGCGTCAGGTGTTGACTTTTGTTTTGTTTTTTTTCGGGCGGGATCAGAAACGGACCTCCATCGGCCACTCCTCTTTTATTCAGGCATCTTATAGTGACCTCACAGGTAGTCCCAACGAAGTAGTTGCTTCTTTTAGTTGTTATTAATATTCTGTAAAAGTTCTCTAACGACTAACCTCAAACCACTCTGCTCCTTCCCCAGCCTCTGGTATCTACAGCTTTGCATATTCTTTGAGATTAGCACCCGGCCTACTTATTTATTTCAGGCAGCTTACATCCAAACAAAGGGAGCACTCATGTATACAGGCTATGCGAAGTGGTATGACCCATGCAAACACGCCGATCATCGATGACTTTAACAGGTTTTGTAATTAGGTCAATTTTGAGATTAGCCTTGAAATACTCAGCTCCTGCGCATACAGCAGCGTTTACAGTTGCCTATTTTGCGCTCCTATTGTGGAATATAATGACTCACATTCGTATTTTGGTTCAGATGATTAAATCCAATACTGCATATCAAATTTCTGAAATATAGCATTATTATTGCCCAAATATCTAGGCTACTTTAGAGCAGTTACAGTTACAGGAGGGACTGTATGGTAAGCAGAGCCACCTGGTGGCATCAAGGCTGGGCTGAGTCCTGTGTTTTTCAAACAAATTGGATTACACAACAAAATAGATCTTTCTATTGATCCGTTGTACAGTAGGACATGTCAGTTAAAAACCATAAGATAAATAAGCACATTAGTGAAGGAATTGATTTTAAGCTTTTAGACTGTCAGTTTTTCAAAAAGCTCTGCTTTATTTTATCTTCCATCAGTAACTTTTCCCCCCATTCCTGAAAGTTATTCAGTGGTGTTTTATGCCATAGTCTGTGTTTTCAACTATTAAGTGGTTGCAGATCTGACAATTTATAAAACATAAACATGATTTTGGGTCAATGGGTTTTCAATGTTGTGTTTCTGTTTGCACTCTTTTTTTAAAAGCAGTCTCTTTCTCCTCTAATTTTAATAAACTACAAAAAATTTTTAAAAAGTAATAAAGTTTTTGTTTTTTAATTCAGTGTAATATAAGAGTAAGCGTCTCCTCACTGGCTTCACTGGCAAGTACCAAGGTGGACCTATTGAAGACAAACTAAGGAGGACGTAATCGGCTACAATAATCAAAGCAGGAGAAAACTGAAGTCTGCAATAAATGTTCACAATTATTGGTTGACAGTAGAGGTGTGAAGTTTTTCAGATAAAAGAAACACAACTGGATGAGCTGTGACATAAGAAATTAGAATCAGAATACTTTATTAATCCCAAAGGAAATTATATAGTTACAGTAAGTACAGAACAGACTGAACTAAATTAAATAATAAAATGCATTTCAAAGTTAAATATAAGAAATAGCTCTAATATATACAAATAGCTCAATTAGAAATATCCAGAATATTATCAAGATTAAATATATATGATTGACATTTTACCCTAAACTGAAAACTATAAAACTTTGCAACTATTGTACTGTGTACTGTGCATTAGATGGAGGAGTTGTACAGGGATGAGTGATTTCTTGTGTTCTTCAGTCTTGCATTTGGGTAATCTCAGCCTCTCACTGAACCTGCTCCTTTGCAAGCATGTCATGGAGTGGATGGGAGGTCAAGCATTGTCCTTATCTTGGACAACATCCGCCTTTCCGAAATCACCTTAAGGGAGTCCAGCTCTATCCCCACAAAATTCCTGGCCTTGCAGATCAGATTTATTGAGTCAACCTGCCACCTCAGAGAAAATCATGACAAATGTTAAAATACCTCAGCCGCTTCAGAAAATAGAGGTGACTCCATTCCTGTAGAGTGCACTGGCACTTTAACCCTGTCTAGTTTATTATCTATGTGTACTCTGAGGTATTTACAGCCCTCCACACTGTCCACATCGACCCCCTGGATTGAAACAGGGGGTCACAGGTTTCCTGGTCCTCCTAAAGTCCACAATCAATTTTTTTGGTATTGTCACGTTGAACTGCAGATGATTCTGCTCGCACCACATGACAAAAAGGAGTCCACCACAGCCTGGTACTCCATCACATCACCCTGACTAATGCATCCAACCACCGCAGAGTCATCAGAAAACCTCTAAAGATGGCAGGTCTCTATGGTGGCTGAAGTCTCAACAATCCAGGACACAAGAGAGGCATTTATTGCATCGCTGTCAGCTGATCACCCAGGAGGGTTGGCCTGATACTATTGAATGCACTGGAAAAATCGAAAGAGATGATCTTCACAGTACTCACCGGCTCGTCCAGATGGGCATAGACACAATTGGTAGATGATGGTAAAAAGTGTAAAAGTAAAGTGTAAAGTGTGCATGTTAGTCCCCGTAGGGAAATAGTTCCTCTGCATTTAACCCATTCACCCAGTGAAGCAGTGGGCAGCCACCAATGCAGCGCCCGGGGAGCGGTGTGTAGGGACGGTACCTTGCTCAGGGGTGTCCTCAGTTCCGAGGTGGGGCTGGTAAGTGAACAGAAGGAGATCCTGATGTGGTCTGACAATAGGTGGGAGCTGTTCAAGGATAAGTTTTTCCAGGGTTTTCACGACATGGGAAGTCAGTGCCACGGGTCTGTAATGGGGGCCACTGAGACGTGGCATCTTTGGTACAGGAACAGAGCATGACGTCTTCTACAGTAATGGGACCCTCTGCAGACTCAGACTCATCATGAACAGTTTATAAAAGACTGCACAGGCCTTGAGGACATGGGGACTCACCCCATCTGGTCCAGCAGACGTGCCTGAGTGGAGTCATCTCATTTGTCTCTGAATTTGTCTCTATCTGCTTAGACGTAATTCATATTCTTGCTCAGAAATAGTCAACTTCTGTGCATTAAAGCATCTGAAAGTTTTATGCATTTACATTCATTTAACTTTTTTTTTTTTTTTTTGAAAATTCATGACTGTCTTGTTTGAAACCCTGGCTAACTGATGCTTTCCCTCCCTGTTTAGAACAAGGGTAAGGTCATCCAGGGCACCTTGCTAAAGCCGGCTCTGGCATCCAGCCTGTACTTAACTTATTGTTTATACTGCGTGATGGAGCCCCCCATGGTGCATTGATCTCTCAATGGATCTTGTCCCCAGGGGTGCTCTCACAAATCCAGCAGTTTGTCAATCCATCCTTTTGCATTTTGGTCCGCTCAGATTCTTAATAGGAGGTTAGATCGAAGGAGAAAGCAATGTGACCTAAATGAAGGACATGCACTTTTCAGAGCTTTAGGCCTACTTTACTGTGAATTCTGCTTGCATATACCAAGTTCCTGAACTGGTAAACCAAGCAAAACCCAATTAATACATAAAAATATTCATAATATTTACATGCAACAAAACAGGCTGAGTAGTTGACATAAGTCTCAGTGTGATGTCTATATTTTCTGTCTAAAGCTAAAACAGACTGAAATGATGAGATGCTACCATATATAATCCTGTACCCTGTCTGTATTGTCTTGTCCAGTTTGTTGCAGCAGACCTCATTAGGACACCTCAGCTGCACTGCTCTCCTTTGAGAACATGTCAGGTTATTCATAGAAGTGGCTCAGGTTTGGGTCTCACAGGACATCTCTTCTCCTGCATTTTTATTGCAGCCTGGCAGCCCTCAGCACTTCACCACAACCCAGTTCCATCTGAAATGGCCGCTCTCCTCGTCTTTCCCAAAGTAGGTAGATGGGCATAATTTTTAAAAACACTCATCACATTGTTCTATTTCACTGAACACTTATCGCAACTAATGATCTTGCAATTATCAAAAAACACCCAATTTATATATTTCAAGAATAGTTTAGCAGAGATCTCAGTATTGAAAGACCCATCACTGACAAGCAGTTCAGTACTAGCTGAGTGTTAAATAAAGGTTAATTTAGATGAGAATGCAAACATCTCTTTGAACCCAGGGGACATGATTGAAGGAATTATGTATTGTTGTCATGGTTGCTATCTTACATCAGAACCTACTGAATATAGGTGTACCCCACCTACTCTGTGTTTTTTGTAATTCTCTACTGTCACGTGGTTAGCTCACTTTTGAATCATTATAGCATTTAATATTGATTTTTATAGATGGGAGGTTAGTATGTTCCCTGCAAGCAGCAAACCATTACCTCCATATCTAGCTGGTATTTATACTAGATACTCTCAATAAGTGCGCCACACTTTGTGGTGCACTGAGTGCACCTGAAAAGGAAGAAAAGGGAAAAGTTTTACAAGTACTTAATGATGCACTGGGAAGTCTCATAAAAGCTTATTTTACATGCCCTTTGACAAAGAGCAGAAATTCCAAAGCACATGCAAAAAAAGTCCTGATTGGCACTTGAGTTTGATAGACAAAGCTTGCCTCAAATTGATGCGCAGACCCAGCACCAATGAAATTATCCTCACATTAGTATGATTAACATGCCATCAAAGAAATAATTGCACTCAGCTGAAAAATGGTCTAATAAATGGATTACGAAATTTGATTAACTGCAGTTGGTCACACATATTAGAAACTCAATTACTTTTGACAGATAGTCTCAATGCAACCTGCAGTAATTAACTGATAAATTACACGGCTCTGATTATACTGAACTTAGGTACCATAAAAGAACATTTTCAGCCCAGAGATCTGCTGCAGTTTAAGTGCCATTAAAATGTGAAACTGTGTTGTTATTGATTCTTAATAGTGGCTAACCCCCACTGACTTTAAACTAAAAAACATTAAGCTGAGTCCTTGGCTGGCCCGGTGTTGCAGATCAATGCCATGTAACATCCAAAAGGGAGAAATTCAAAATCAAAGCTGTCGCTATAGCAACGCCCCTGCCAGATTCCACCAATCAATGGAGTCCGTGGGGTTGTGAGATGCGCCGGGGAAAGGCCAGCGTCCTACATAAAGAGTCCAGGACAGGGAGCCGGGCATCACACAGGGCAACACACCTTTCTGCACACACATACGACAAAGGCAAAGCAGTGAGAAGAAGAAGAAGGGTTAGGAAGAACGGAAGAGTGGAGAAAAGGACAAAGGAAGAGAAGGAGGGAATAACTAAGAAGATATGGTACGCTCATGTGAACAAGAGATTCCTGCCTGGGTCTGTGTGGGCACCCTGCTACTCTTTATCCACTCTGTCACAGTTAGCGGAGGTAAGATAGCAAATTAAAATCAGTAGTTTGAATTTTGCTACTAAAGAGTCTTCTTGCCTTTACATCTTTTTTTTCCCACATCCTACACTCTAAGGGAAGCTGTATTGTTCTATTTCAGTCCAGCTCCCCCCCATACAGTCATGGGTAGTAGGGCACATCATGAATGTGTGGCTCGTGCCCAGCCTCAGGGCAATGGAGGGGTATTTATCTGTTCCACTCATCCTGTCCTCATCTGTTTGTGTGCCGGGTGCAGTGAAAGACGGGCAAGTCCATTTGCCACTAGGCTTTGTGCCAGCACAGTAGTACAGCAAAGTACAAGTGCTGAGAGGGAAAGCTCCTCTACTCCTTAAAAGAAGGGCTGATTGTGACAAAAGTTATCGAAGGCCACATTATGCTGCTGTTTGATGTGTGTACACAGACTCATTTAATTCTTATTTATTAATGTGTATAAACCAATTCATGTCGATGGCTTTTTTCAAGCTTTAGTAGAAGAGGCACTACTTTTTAAGTTGTCTACTTTTAACTGAATTTCACATTTGTTATTCTTTTTCTAAAGAAATTCTGCAAAAAGATGTAACAGCCATTGTGGGTCTTGGGATTTATATTTTTTAATTGATCACACCATGCCAGAATCATTTGTCAATACACACTCCCATATACTCAGCTGGATCACAGTGCTGGCTGGCTAATTGGAAAAATGTTACTTTGAAGTGGGAGCTCTTGATTGCAGTGGAGAAATAAAGACTGTGATGCATCCCGGGAAGCCAAGTGTGCTCCCCCTTGTGTCTCATTAAACCCCCAGTTAACAGGCCAAGAAGGCTGCTGATGGCTGTGGCAGAGCAGAATGGAATCAGCGACTTCTCATGCTGAGTCTTTCATGTATGATTCTCCAGTATGTGCCACTTGTATTTATGCTCAAGAGGACCCATAGAAGAAGCCATCTGCAATGGGGCTGCAAACTCAGGATTCATTTTGGTGCACCTGGTATCTGATGTTGTCTGAGTCAGCCACCTGGCTTGTTGCTCTCGCTCCCTATTAATTGAGAAGAGAGGTAGAGAAGCATGTGCAAGTCTGCTTTTCCCCCGGCGCATTTTGCCAGTTGTGGTTAAGTCGAAAGAGGTGTGCTATTCCAGTTCTAGATGTGTCAGATATGATTTAACTTGTAAGAAAAAGATAGAGAAAGAATCAATCTGTAATCAGAGATGAATAATACATTTTCTTTAAAAAAAAAAAAAAAGCTCAAGTGATTGTTGAGTTTCTGACAAGTGGAAATCATGCACTATTGCACTATTTTTTCCCCACAGCTGCCCTGAAGCATGATGTGGCATTGGATAGTGGAGCCACAGTGCTAAATCATACTATGAATTTAGTGCATCGTATGGAGACCCTGCTGGCCCTGGGAAATGGCAGTGATGTCACTCTCCGTGTGGAGACCATCAACACGGACGAAGTGAAGGTGATCCAGGCACACAGCCTGGTTCTTACCCTGCAGAGTGATGTGTTTGAGGAGCTGCTGCTCAGCCGCAACACCAGCTCTGTGGTTCTGAGGGAGACGCCTGACTGTGCAGCCATCTTTGAGAAGTTTGTCAGGTGAGCGGGACTGTCAGATGCCACGATTTATTGAGACTGATTTGTTACTGGGTCATATCGTTGATGACTAAAAAGATAGACAAGTTTCCTATTTTTCCTTTCTTTTCAGATAAGTAAAATGCTCCATCTCCATCTCTATTCTAAAATTACACTTGCTCTTTGAGACTTGCAGTCTAAAATCAGAGAGTGTGGGCTTTTTTCAGTGACTCAGATGCGTGCAGAAAAAAAGATTCAAAATATAGTATGCCCCACAGAAATGTTCCTTTCTTTTAACAATGCTTTCAAAAAATTTCTTTGCAGGTATCTGTACTGTGGTGATATTTCTCTGCGGCTAGATCAGGCTATTTCTCTACATAAGTTGGCAAGCAAGTACCATGTGTGGGGCTTGCAGGAGGGTTTGACCCAATATATGACTCAACATCTCTCCAGTGATTCACCCACAGGCCACGTGGTTGGTTGGTACAACTATGCTCTACAAATTGGGGACATAACCCTGCGGGACAGCTGTCTGCAGTACCTGTCCTGGAACCTGTCTTCTGTGCTGCAGAGCAGAGAATGGGGCTTCATCAGTGAAGACCTTCTCCTCTCCTTGCTCCAGCGTTCTGACCTCATTCTGCAGAGTGAGCTGGAACTCTACGAGGCACTGGAGGGATGGATTAACCAGAATCAGCCTGTTCGTATGACAGTGGAGAGTGCCCTGAGGGCCGTTCGATATGGCATGATCCACCCTCAGCATCTCTTCCGTCTTCAGAAACATTCCCCCCTCATGGTGAAGTATTATGAGTCAATCCGTGATCTCCTCTATCTAGCTTTCCAATTTCACTCTGCCTCGCCTATCCAGCTTGCCAAGTACTTTGATGTCAACTGCAGTATTTTTACTCCCCGTAACTACCTGTCCTCTGCCTGGGGATCACCTTGGATCATAAACAACCCCACCCGTGATGACCGGAGCTTCAGCTTCCAGACCCAGCTTGGACCCAGTGGCCATGACTCCAGTAAGAGAGTGACATGGAATGCCCTGTTCTCACCTCGGTGGCTCCCGCTCAGTGCCAGGTCAACTTATACCGAACTGGGTGCTATGCAGCCCACCCGCACGGAGGGAGGTCGACCTCGCATCATTGTAACACCAGCCACTTCAAGCCCTGACTTTGCCGGCGTGAGTTTCCAGAAGACGGTGATTGTAATGACAAAGCAGCAGGGAAAAGTGGTGGTCAAGCATGTCTACAACTTCCACCAAAGCACAGAGGAAGCTGGGGATTTTCTGCTGGATGCTGATCTGCAGCGGCGTGCATCCGAATACCTGATTGACAGCTCCCTCTATCTGCACATTGTAATAAAACCTCTCTACCATACCCTTCTTGTTGCCAGGAAGTAAAAACAGGAATTCACTGAGGCCTCATCATCAGTGATCCACCCACACAATCACATGCACATATTCCAAAGTACACTCATATCACAATACATGTGTATGTGTCAGATCTGCGACAATTCCAGTGTTGATTAGTTTGTGCATTTTCCTGTCTTCCAACTAGTAAGAAAAGGATTTGTCTCATAAAATAAAGGACTCAAAATAACAGCTCATAAACTGCTCAGCAGTGATTATTACAGTAATGATGATGGGTTTTTCATGTTTTCATCCATATTGAGAAACAGTGTTACCGTACTGTATTTATCTGTTTTTGTGTGGCAGTTTTCCCCTTAAATGTATTCAATCTATGTGATCTAGTAAGAGAAGCAAGGCTGACATGGTTAGAACAGAGTGATAGTGGCTTCATCAGGGTGTTTAATATGGAGCTACCAGAGAGAAGGAAAATATTAAACCACAGAGAAGATTTCTAGATGTAGTGAAGGACATGCAGAGGGTTGGTGTGGTAGAGGAGGATGCTAGGGAGAAGATGAGATGGAGGTGGATGATCTGCTGTAATGAGCCCTAACGGGAAAAGATAAAAGAAAAAGAATACGATCTCAATGTTTTTTAATAGGCCAGTAGACGTTTTCCTTTAAAATAAAAATGTTATTGATCTTACTTTTATGCATTTTCTCATCCAGTACTCTGTAATGAAACATTTACTACATGGCACCCAATTCCTGTGATATGCTCCTGTTTGGATCTTGCATGCCAAACAGTGGAAACTGAAGTGAAATCCCATTATGAGTGTTCCTTAGAATAATATAGTTGACTTGCAAGACTGTAGAGACTTTAGGATAATTGCAGCAATTTTAATTTATTTTTCTTCTTCTTCTTTTTATTGTTACACTTGAATGTTGCCTATCTTTTAAAGAAAGTCCCTGTGTGATTCTCCTGGAACAAATAAAAAAATCTGTATGAGAAAACACAATTAGAAAAGAAATGTATGTGGTGACTAGTAGGGATTTCCAAAATAAACTTTGATAAACTAAAATTAAGGTAATCTTTTCCTGTGGTTTTTTTTTTCCTCG